CCCAAAAAAATCACCGGCCTACTTAAAAAGGAGCACTTGTTAACCCGATCAAAGCGAAGACTCGGGAGAACGGAGAGCACCAGTCGAAATGTTAACCTGTTAGTGCAGGATGGACTACGTGTGCAGACGAAACACAGCCCGGCGCAGTGTGAAATTCCAACTGGCCTGAAACGTATAGCCTTTTGAGGAGATAATGATTGTGTGTGTCACTCGGGCCTCCCGAGGCTTTATTACACTTCTGCTGAGTGCCTCCATCTATTTTCTGTTGCCTCTGCCGGCTCACAGCACCGGGAGACGAGGTCAGGGGGCCACATGTCATGCTGTATGGAGTTTTCTGTTTGCTGAAGTGAAACTCTGGAAAATAGCAGGGATGAAGTACAGTCATCTGCTGTGGTGTTGGTCGAGTGTTTCCAGATGAAACATTAGGGTTGAAGCGATGTTACCGTGCTTCACTCACAGATGTGCCGATTAGAGCTGAAATGGTTAATCAAGTGAAAGAAAGTGAATCTTGACTTTTATGCAAAAATGTCAACCGACCGGGAAGCCGCCTTTTTAAATGGGAATATTTTCTGCTTATGTAGATGCATATTATTGTAAATTGAATACCATTGGGTCAGTCGGACAAGACGAGCAATTTTGATGATCCATTAATGATGTCATCATAAACGAGCCGTCAGGAATCCCGTACAGTTGTGATGTCACAACTAAACAATGTAAAGACAGTTTCACAGTTGTAAACCCTCTAAATGTGTCTTAGTTTATTTCGGGTAGCAGCGTATGTGAGTGGCATCGGCTGACAGGAAGTAAACATGGACTCAAAATGAAAATGAGCATGATATGTCTCCTTTAACTTTTGTTTTTGACAGGCTGTACTTTCCTTGATGAGCTAACTTAACATTTATGTGTAAATCTGAACTCCCCTTTAAGATCAGATACATAGCCGATACCACTAGTTGTATCAGCACTTGATACAATCTGTATACCTGCAAGCATTGGATAATAACCATTTGACAAGGGCTGGGTACCTCAGCGATGTAATTCCTGGCTGTTACTCACACTTAGCTGTTTAGTAATTACACCCATAACTGGAGAGGAGTTATCACCAGGATGCAAGGTCAGGGTGCCAAATGTCAAGTGTCCCATTCACTGAAGTGAAACTAGAGCAAATTGCTGAGCCGTGCAGCGAGCAGGGCACACGCTGTCACATGGCCAGCTGGTGACAGGTGTACTCGTTGTCTCTGTGCATATCTGGGTATTCTTTAGATGCCCCCCCAGGTGAAACACGGGGCATGTGCTGGCACTCGCCTGCTGCTGGCGGCCGCTTTACAGGACGAGGAATGTGCAGAATTCAACTTAACGCGTCAGTGTGAGTGCTCAAGACACAAAGTCACATGAGCTGCTCGGGAGATACCCCCCGACTTGGACTGATTTCTTCTTTTCTTTCCGCGGCAAGGACCCGTGTGGTCCTCTGTGATCGTAATCGCATCAGATCAGATCAAGGAGTTGGAGGTCAGGAGGCAGGCTGACAGGGCAGGAGCTTGGATGGGTTTGCGGGTGTTGCAACGCTTAACCCAATCATTGGACGGGACTTTGACTGCACATTAATGTTTAAACATGAAAATAATAAACTGCTGCGAAAAGGAGAAAAACAATAGACCAACTGCCTCTGCATCTGGCAGACCTGAACTTATCCTCACTGAGCAGACTTTACTCATTAACAACAGGTGTTCAGTCTGTTTCTTATCACGACCCTCCTAAACAATCTTGTTCCTGTGCCACGAGGCAAGATGAGCTGCAGTGAAGTCAAGATACTATACTTTTGGGGTTTTAAACCGTAAAGACTGTTAGAGACATCTGTGTACGTATATGATCTCTTTAGGTCACTTGACTACACTGAGCTTTCACCCCACCCCCACCCGTCACTGTGCTCGTCCACATGTGTCAGGGCAAAGTGGAGTGTGGGATGTGGGATGGGGGAACTAAAAGCTCAGCGTTTCAAGTGTTTACCGTTTGTACCAAGTGGGCAGATTTTTATCTACGTGGCGCTGTCGGGGCCCAGAGTGGAGGGAATAACGCTTTTGAATGCTCAGCCGAACGGACAACAATAGCTGTGGTGTGCAAACAATGTGGCCCCGGGCAGCCGGACACAGGACACAGCTGCCAAGGCTACAGCCTCCAGCTCCGTTTCAGATGCACTCTCAGGCTTTACCTTTTGGGCACACGTGACATTCTCACAAACTCACACAGGGCGGCAAAACAATGTTTCGACCTTAAGGTGTTTGATGGAGTATTTGACCGGTCCAGTTCTGGACGCAGTTAGACCAATGCACCTCAAAGAGGATCGGGGGAATTAGTTTGGAGAGGTTTTGTAAAAGGACCAGAGGAAATGCATCTCAAGTGCTTCCTGCTGCGGACTTGACATGTAGAGAAGGTTGTCTTTGTTGGATTTGGGGGTTTCTACTACCTTTTTATTGATGTAGGATATTTTCTTGATCAATCGTTTGGTCTACAAAATATCAGAAAATATAGAAAGCTGTCCATCTCAAGTTCCCAGAGCCCAAGATTTCATTTTAAAATAGCTTGTTTTGTTCAACCAACGGTCCAAAACTCCAAAAAAGATGGTTAACTTGCTATTACATCCAAATCTTTACATTTGAATAGCTAAAACCAGAGAACTTTAAACCATCGGTTATCAAAATGTTGATAATTTTTCTATCGATCGATTAATCTAATGATTGGCTAATCTTTACAGCTCTTGTGGGATCTTTTTCAGTTGTATGATTGATCAAAATGACTGAACCTCCACAGAGTATAGTGAGCAAAGTGAGGAGGATTTCAATTATGAGAAAGCCTGAGGAGTAACTGTTTCAGATTTAAAATGCCCCTCTGTTAAAAAAAATCTGTTGTAAATGATGTAGATCCTGACAGACGGGGCTCCTCTGGGCTTAATCTTGTCTGTGCTTTCATTTTAACTTCTCGACATGAAAAGGCTCAAGGTTAAGATTCATATCTCCCTCACAATATTCACCATCATCCCCAGGGCTGATGCCTATTTTCCCTTCTTTTGCCTGTAAAGTCTTGTCTCAGATCCTTTAATTTATATTAGTCTAGATTAGCTAAGCATGGGGAGCTGTTGGTACATGCAAGTTGATGCAAGGGATCTGCCCTTGAGCAAGGTGAGCAACCAGCCAGAATCTCAACAGCAAGGTGAAATGTGCCAGTTTCTTGGTCATGTCCTTCATACAGGGTTTTTCAAATTGTTCCCCACTATGTTGGTGATTCAGATTTATTTTGGGGAGGATTTGGGACACGTTTTATTGAGTCTCTCACTGTTTTTTGTTTTCTCATATTCAACATTGCATATTAACTCCACATGCAAAGATTCATTCATTGCATTCAAGCTGTGATACCAGAGAATGTGCTCATATTGATGACGCTTTTCCTTTTAACTGTTAGTAGTTAGAAGGGTACGTCCTTCCCTGTGTTATGATGTGCTGTGGCGACTCCAATCCTAACCCTCTTCCTGTTTTGCTGTGTTGCAGGACCGGAATCGGCCCTTTGATGCTTTTAGCTTGCACTCTTTGGAGAATTCCTTAATGGATATGATAAGGACTGACCATGACAAAGGTAAACCACACCCTGCCGGTGGCCCACCAATGACTATCGCTGATATTATATGGAGGAATCATTTTGCAGGTTAGGAATATTTATACGTCCATGCTTACAGTATTTTTTTTTTTTTTTGCTTCATGGGCATATGTCATCTCTGGGTACATTGGTTTTTCTTTCGCTCTATAAGCCAATCTCTTAACCAATCCAGTACGGATCATCATGTTCTGTTGAATAATTAACATTATGAGCCTTACCTGCAAAATTGTGCATAATTGTTTGTTTTTGTGTCTGTGTTTGTGTGTGTGTGTGTGTGTGTGGTGCAGACGTGCAGCAACGTGCACTCAGGTGGTCTTATTTGCTAATTGCATTTTCTTTTGCCTTTTTCTTCTTCTTTGCCCGTTAGCTCTCTGCCGATTGGAATCAGTGGATCGAGTAAAAATGCCACGTGACTTGTTTGTGGTTTGCATTTTTCACTGAATAACGTGATCACCAGAAAGCAGAATTCAGAAATTCTACTGGAATGTCTATTTCGTTGGTGCTTAGACATGACCATGACCGAGTCATAGCTTGAGGATCCAATCGCACAGACGCAGTGAAATGCAGATTCATACTAAAATGAGTTCACGTCGCATTGTTTTATCTCCAGGGAAGTGTAGAGAATTTATGAAATCATGAAAACGCTGTCCAGAAATCTCTCTTCACGCCCTTTTAAGGCCATCCAATGTATGTCAAGGCCTTCTAAGCTAATGTTTTTGTAGAACAGGTCACGTGTCTATTGTAAAAACTCTGGATCAAGTCTCCCAGATGGGGCCCTGTCCGGTCGGGCGTAGGGTTTTCATGCCCCCCCATCCTCCCACCTTAACAATGGAAAGCTTGGTGGGAGGGGTACATAATGAGCGGAGCATGTAGCTTTGTCACGCGTGGAATCTTGTTTGCCCGATCTCGTGCTGAGTGAGCATTGTTGTGGCGAAATGGTCATCCTGGCCCCAACCTAACTTCACTGGAAAGGTGTCATAATGTCCTGCGGGGCTTCCCTCCCCGCGATTGTTTATCCAAGCACAGCGGAGACAGAGACAGATATGGAGAACGACGGGGACGTGGGATCTCTCTGTGCTTGTTTACCCCTCTTGCCATCGCGTAGGCAGCGTGGGGCTGCAGCGAGCTACCGTGCCAACCACAGAGCAGTGAGGCCCTGCCAGGCGTACCTACTCACTGTCTGAGAGGCCTCTCCGGCCGGGCTGCTGTGTGATCTACTGCAAGAAGCATAGCTGCTGGTGCTTTTTTTTTTTTCAACTCGGGAGGTCTATTTAGATGATAACCTGTATGACAAACTCTGTACTTGGGGGAAGAGTTTTGCTACCCGACCCCTAAAGGCCTGGGTCCTTTTGTTGTGTAAAATTTCGCGTCAGGTCAGGTTGAGTTCGGTCATTTTCAGAAGTCATCTGTTAAGAAAGTCCTCTATTTCTTTCTCTGACTGTACCAATAGTCTACATCCATGTGTGTCATTTGTTGTGATGCCCAGTGCAAACAGGGAGCATAGCAAATGTGTTGACAAATTTAACGTCGGTTATTGACGAGTTGTGGCTAAAATGACAATGTTTGGTACATTGTAATATTTGGCAGTACCAGTCGGGTTTGGTCAGGTTGCAAAGGAAGGGGCGGGGTTCAGGTTAACCTGTTAAACCTATCGAATAGCCATTTTGTTTCATACGATTCAATCAGCCTGACATTGACTGATTTCTTGTTGTCAATCAATTTAAGGTATCGACCAAAATGAACCCAGTGCCAATACTCAAGGTACTTCAAGGTATCAAATGAAGTACTCGATTGGTATCGGTATCGCTTCAAGGGTACTGGTAATACCCAGCCTCAATTGTAAGTCTTATGGCTAAGATCAGTTTCCGGTGTGAGTAACACACCTGAACAACATGTCCGACAAGACAAGTGAGATGACATAATATGGATATTTTAAATCGTAAACATAACGGCTTTAAGCTCCCATTTCTTGTTGGGTGCAAACTTAAAAATTCCCAGATCTAGGACAGTGATTCCTAATTGGAACTGACTTAGACAAGACGATATCAAGAGAAAAGCATAGTAAGTGTGGTATCCCACGTTGAGGATGCTGCCCGCCAGCTGAGAGCCACCAGTCAAAACTAATTTACCCAGTAGGCCCCGTTTTGCATTCCCAACTGAATGGGTCCCACCCACATCCATCCCATCACAGACATTTCTCTCATACTCTTCATTGTGACTGGAATAGTTGTTTCTGTGTGTGTGTGTGTGTGTGTGTGTGTGTGTGTGTGTGTGTGTGTGTG